ATTTTGGTAAGCTTTGAACAATCTTGAACAAACAAGTTGCTATAAGCAAGGTAAAGTTTGAATGAGTCAACATGCAGCAACAAGTATGTAGCCATTATTGGTGGTCCATCTTAACCAATCTCACTAACATGTTTACACTTGCACATGTTCAGCCATCATGGCTCACAAGCTTGTTTGCCCTTTACACCTCCTTCCCATATACAGCTGTACATCTTGCACATGGTTGATGAATTTGAACTATTTGTGAAAACACACAGGCCAGCTATACAACTCCACCTAGTCAGAGCCAGAAGAACTTGGCAAGCTCCTCCTTTTGTTGATGCTTCTTTTGATTCTTCTTGCCAGCAAGTGTGCTGCAATGGAATCCTGATAGTCATTGCAGGGTGGGGTGGCGTGACTTTAAAATGCATCAAACATAGAAACAAAAAGAAAATGTATACTTATACACTTCCAGTGCACACAGCTTCTCAGATAAAGCCAATGCTTCTCCAGTTTATTCATGGGCATCTTTGCCAACAGCAACTGCTGCATTCTCTGTGGAGGAGGTTTTGCCATTGCAAAAGTGGCCCAATGCAACCAATGTAGCAAAAAAAGCTGCAGTGAGAAGACCAACTACAACAAGCAGCCAGTTTGGCTTTACTCAAGCACACCTTTGACAAAAACATGTTCCACTTGGTAAAAAATCATGTGTGCCCATGCAGTATTTTTCAAAAATGGGTTGCGCAAAAACCACATGCAAACTTTTGAAAATATGAAAATAGAGGTGCCAGCATGTGAAAAAGCTGACAATCAAACCATGGAAAATTGCTTTTGCTCATATGCTAAGTACTTAGCTAAACACTTAGCTAAGTACTTAGCTAAGGACTTAGCCGATCTAGTTAAATACTTATCAAGTGGTATTTAAATTTTGTATTTGCACTAACTTTTTTAGCTAAAGTTTAGCTAAGTAGATCTTACAAAGGCTAAAATATACATTTGTATCTAGAGTTTAGCCCTTTTTGATTAACCTTTAGTAAGTATGTGTAGTACTTGCACTTCATTACTAAGATATACACCATACTTATACTGTACTTAGATCATACTTATATCTTACTTGTACCCTGGATACTAAATAGTCTAAGTTCTATAAGTAGGTACAAGTAGCGGGATCATTCAAGTCAGCCAACATTCGCCCACTCCCACCAACATGCAACAACTTGTCCACCTCCACCGTGCCCTATCTACTCTCATTCACCGCGCAGCTTACATTGAAGGCGCTGATGCCATTTTTGCTACTGGGCTCATACACCTCGCCCTTCTCTTCACTTACCCCTCCAACACACAGCGTTCACAACAATGGCGAAAGCGCTTTCGCCAGCTACATGTCCTACCCCAGACATACCACTACCACAACTTTCTTTATTCGAATTCTGTCTACATCAAACTCTACTTCAACATCCAGCAACCACACCACTGTTACCACCAACATGGCCACTTCTACATTGGCTCCACAGCCATTGGCGTTCCTCATCGAGAGCACAATCGCCGCGCCAAACTCAAACAGCTTCAGCGCAATATCCCCATCTCATCCGACCTCTCTCTTCGATACTGGCACACTCACAACACCATCGACCAGTACACCACTATCCAGCTTTCCTCACATGACACCTATGACCATGCCTGGATACAGGAACACAACCATATCTCAAATTGGACGCCACCTCTTAACTGGCCGTTCATTTCCCATCACCTCAAATTGGAGGCCCAGGGCTGGCAATTCACCAAGCACAGAGCACATTTCTTTTCTCGCCTGGCCACCCGCAAACGCCTCTTTAGGCATTTACGATGCCGTCAACAAACCGTCCAAGAGCCACACCTCTTTACCTCTACCAAGCACCACGCCCTCACCCTTCTCCGCAATCTTACCAAACACACCTCCGCTTCTTTCGAAGCAGCAAAACAACTCCGCAGTGGCCGCCACACAGACCTCGAACTTTATGCCATCCGACGTATGGCCGCCAACCTTGAAGAACCCGGTCGCACCAGGGCCCTGCGCATTATTCACAAGGCCACGCAGTACCGCAACCTGACACCACCTCGCGCTAACATTCCCCTTACCCTGGCTCACGACGACTTTACCAAACACACCCAGCAGTGGTTACGCACCACCATCCAGCAACACAAGCACCTTGACCTTGCCATTCCTCTCCACCTCTCAACTCATCGCCTCCGTGAGGCCGCTCACAAGACTTTACGCGCTCAGCTCCACAATCACCGAACATGGGAAGACACCCTCTGTACTCCCCCAGCTCCATCCGATCTGCCTTGCGCCTGCCAACACCTTCGCACCCTCCTACTGGATACCACCTGCACCACTACCGACGGCCACTACATTCTTACCCTGCGCCACCTTCAACTCCCACCTCACCTGCGAATCTTTCTCGATGCCAATGTGAACAGCACTTTTTATCCCACCAAGGCTCGCTACTTCCTCACCTTTCAAACTGCCTTTCGCAGATGGCTTCGCACCCAAGGTTTTCCTCCATCCCTTGACCAAGACATTGAACCTTTCCTTCAACACCAATGGCGCCATCATGTCGCCCACCTCAAACAACAGCCACATTTTACAGCACGTCTCCTTCGCCAACTCCAAGAATACCTTTGTGACAAAGTCGTCCTCCATCGTGCAGACCATGACAGCTTCACTCCGTGTTTTCTGCCCACAACAATACTACAGGTGCTCTCAACACTTGGCAAGCTCCTGAACTTTTCCAGCCGTTGCCATTCCTCACATCGCAAAACATTCAAGAGCATATCACTGCCACAGTCCCCTCCAGCCTTCGGGCCCGCTACAAATGGGGGTTTCGCAAAGACTTCCCTGTCCCCTATGGCATTGTCCATCTCAAAGCCAAAAAGCAATGGCAGAAAGGTCGCACCATTATCTCTTACTATCAGTCATTTGCTGGAAACCTCCTCTGCATCACGAGCAGAGCTCTCGACATCATCTTGCAACATCTCTTCCCCCAACACTCTCCATCCCACAACTCTGGCGCCACTTCCACACCTATCTCTCACAAACTCCCACTGACATCACCCTACACGCTACCAACGATGACCTCGTTGGTTTTTTCAACTCCGTCCCCGAGCATCGACTGATTGACGCAGTCCATTCCCTGATCCAAGAATGGCAGACTCAACAATCCACTCACACTCTCACCGTGGACACCAAGGCCACAGGCAACCCTTATCACCACTCCCACATTGGTCGCCACCATACCAGACACCCCACACAACGCACAATCCACACTTCCGACATTACCACCATCGTTGCCTTCGCACTCAACACTTGCATTTTCCGGGCTTGCAACCACACCTACAAACAAATACGGGGCGCTGGGATTGGCTCCCAGTTGTCACCAGCCCTTTGCAACGTCGCAATTACACCCGTTGAGCATTCATGGCAGCAGCTACACAACAACCTGCTTCACCACACGGACCTCCATTTCACCTAGTACCGCTACGTGGACAATCGCTTTATTGTCCACAACGAGCACTTCCTTTCCCACCCAGCCATACAAACCCTCATCCACCACAACTTTTTCGGAGATCCAGTCGAACTTGAAACAGTTGACGACTTCCACCTCCTCGGGTTTAACATTGATCTCAATCAACGCACCATCACCTACACGCAACCCTTGGAAAATCCGAGATGCTACCAGCGCCGGGAGCAAACGGCTCACGCTCTCAGATCTCGCTTCACGACTCCACACAATCTACACCTATACCTACCCACCCCACGCAGCGGACGCAGCGGCCGAACAGCTAGTCAACCTCTACGTCCTCAAAGAACATGCGGCAATAGACTGCAAGCGATTTTTGAAGCCAAAAAAGACCGCAACAATTTACTACTTGCGCCGGAGTCAGCACCTTGTGTGTGCCCCCCTCTGTCTCCAAGAGTTTCAACGTTCCTTTTTATCACTTCAGCCGGGGGCGACAGGGTCGCTGCATGGCTGTCGCCAACGAAGCTCCATGCAGTCGACCAGGATGCAGGGACTGATCATCCCTGTGCACCTGCACTTTCAACCGTTGACCACGCTGTCCACTCCTTCGTTTTGCTGCCATGGTTGTTCTCATGATAGACCCCAAAACAGGTTTCCCTCAGCTGCTTTCCACTGTTGCGCTGCCACAGTCACGCATCAACATTGTTGAACATTTCAGTTGAGCCGATCTTGCACCTTTCCGTTCCCTCACCTTTTTGACGTGGAACAGAGTTAACTGCAAACCCATTATCTAAGTGTGTGTCACCACCCGTCTCCAGGGACCTTACGTATGATTTTTGCCATCGGCAGAACTAGGGACCACCACGAACGAAGACGCCCGTTTGATGTGGTGATATGGGAGTTGGTCACTCTGACGCGTGTGCCTTCAGGTTTTCTGAGTTTCACCGAACCTGCGTAAGGCCAACGCTGTCCAATCCAATAACATACAGGGCTAGCGCACAGCGAGATCCACCCTGAATATCGCTCCTTGATCTTTAAGCGTGAAACCCTCGGAGGAAACCTTTTGGTTTGGTAGCGCCCTTCCTTTAATTTCAGCACGGGGCAGCACAGGGGTCCACAGCGCCAGTGGATATCCCGTGAAGTGGATGGGCATCTTCGTTCGAACTTCGCGGCCAACGTGGGGCTGGGCTTTTGAACTTAGGACTACGATGATTCTTCTTTGAGGCTTTTGAAGATGTTTAGACCGTCTGGCAGTAACGCGTACGGATTGTGACAAGAGTAGACCTGCATGATGGTCGCTCTATCCTTCAGGACTTTCCTAGCAGGAAAAATATGAAGCTCAAGGGGAAGTGCCAATTACCAATACACGCGTTTGGAACACACAGTGCACACGGATGTTGTATGTCAAGCGACGGATACTATTCCCTCGACCTGCCAGACCGAGTATATTTCGAAAATGTGTTTACGCCACGTCGCCACGTCCCTTTCTGACAAGCGGGCTCTTACAAACTAACTTCTCGCCTCTCCAAGTTTCTGCTCTGCCGCTGCGATTATTGCGGCCTGCTTCATGACAATGCTGCATCTCTCGCTGTTCAACAAAGAGCTTGCTACAAGTAGAATCCGGTCTGCAAAAACCTCCAGAACCTAGGCGGTTCAAACGCCTGGTTGGGCATCGACATGCAATCTGTCCTTGGCGCAAAATCTGCAGATAAAAGCTACAGAATCTCAATTGGCTCACCAGCCATATGTTCTGCCTCTCTACGACGCCCAAAGGACAATTGATTGGGAAGTGAATCTCTCGCATCCGCGCAAACCTTTTCCTGACATCACCGTGACTGAATGTGTGTGGCACTTCACATCCACTCCATTTAAAGGCATGGGGTTTTGTTTTTTTGCCCTGCTTTAGGCGCTGTTTCGACATGTTTGTCTCGGCGTTTCAAATGGACCTGGTAGATTTGGGGGCACTGCCTCTCAAGGTTCTTTTTTGACCTGTTTTGAAGTGCCAAGGCTTCAATCGCACCTGGTACATTTGGGGGCCGTGCCTCCCAAGGTTCTCTATTAACATGGTTTGGATCGCAAGGTTCTTTTTTGCACAGTTTTGGGCGCTATTTCGACTCAGGGTTTCAAACGGACCTGGTAGATTTGGGGGCAGTGCCTTCCAAGGTTCTTTTTTGACCTGTTTTGAGGCGCCAAGGTTTCAAAACGGATCCGGTACATTTGGGGGCCGTGCCTCCCAAGGTTCTTTATTAACATGGTTTGGGGTGCAATGTTCATTTTTGCGCTGCTTTGGGCGCTGTTTCGACAAGTTCGCCTCAGGGCCCAACGCTTGGGGGCAGTGCCTTCCAAGGTTCTTTTTTGACCTGTTTTGAGGTGCCAAGGTTTCAAAACGGAACCGGTACATTTGGGGGCGTGCCTCCCAAGGTTCTATATTGACATGGAATAGGCCGCAAGGGTTTCAAGCGAGCTGGTCGGTTTGGGGGCTGTACCTCCCAAGGTTCTTTATGACAGGTCAAAAAGAAACCCCACTCAGAGGTGCCCAAACAGCCCCCACAGAGGTTCCGGCTTCCCGTGCGCAGGCTCGCACCAAACAAGTCCAAAAAGAAAACTACACAGGTTCCGCGTCGAAAAGGAGCCCGGCCCAAGGACTTCCCGTGCGCAGGCTGGAACCCAAACAGGTCAAAAGGCAACCCTTCAACGGCCTCTCCCCTCTTGCAGACAAGCACTCAAACAGGCCAAAAAGAAACCCTGCACAGGCGCCCAAACCGCCCTGTCACGCAGGCGGGTTAGCAAAAGGCCGTGACGGGCGGTTTGGGCACTTGCGCAGGGTTTCTTTTTGATTTGTTTGGACGCTTGCCAGCGAGTGGGGAGAGGCCGTGGAAGGGTTTCCTTTTGACAAGTTTGGGCCCAAGACGCGTCGAAAAGGAGTCCGGCCCAAGGCAGGCTGGCGCCCAAACAGGTCAAAAAGAAACCTTACACACGTACCCAAACAGCCCTGTCACACCCTTTCGCAAACCCGCCGCCCAAACAGCCCTGACGCCAGACATCGAAAAGGAGTCCAGCCCAAAAACACTCCGCACACAGGGTAGCGCCAAACGGTAAAAGGAAACCCTTCCACGGCCTCTCCCCGCTCGCAGGCAAGCGCCCATACAAGAAGAAACCCTACACAGGTGCCCAACAGCCCTGTCACGGCCTTTCGCAAAACAGCCCGTGGGGTGCCCAAATAGCCTTGCCACGGCGCAAGTGGATAGACTTGCCGCAGGGACACACAGGCCGCAAGTGGAAGTTTTGCCGCACGGGCCCTGCGCAACCAAACGGTACTGTTTGAAACCTTGTACCCCGGAAACAACTCTGAACAAAAAACCTTCCCAACCCAACGGTACTGTTTGAAACCCTGTACCCCGGAAACAGATCCAAAAAAAAGAGCTACCGGGCACAAAGAAAACAATCCAAAGGCGTGACTGTTACAGCTGGGTCAACGCGGTTTGTCGAGCACGTGGCTATATTTGAGCGCATTGTGGTCGAGGGCACAGTTGCAGAACCCCTCTGATAACGAGGCAAAACGCATCAGGCAGACACTGACAAAACGCCCTGGCAGCCCCAGGACTACATCAGCCTATCGCTGACACGGCATGACACATCAACACAGCCTCAAAACAAAGCAGGGCACAGAGCCTGTTAAAAAGAACGCAGCTAGACCCAAAGTTTTGGTGGAGCGGTGCGCGGGGTGGGAAACAATCACTTCAATCTAAAACGGTCAACTGGGTGGAACCCTGAGCGCTCCTGCCTGAGGAAACGTAGCAACGCAAGGTGGCTGAGCGGAGCCAACAAATGATTGGCAAGCACTACATTACAGCTGATGGGAAGTGTATGATCAGCTCAGACTGGAAGGACATGCTACTGGCCATGGAACGCCAATGAAGCATACATTGTCTGCAACCCTCACCACGCAATTGAGGTCCTTCAAGTGGAAGTACACAGATTGTTGGGACATGGCCAACATCCTGTAATTACTCAAGACTGGCTGCAAAGCCACTGTTTGCAATTACTTCGAATGATGGTCGCCGGCTTGACTATTTGACGCACAAGCTTTTCAGCCTACATTTCAATAAGACTGTTTTTGTTTGGTGTGTACGTTGTTGCGTGGTAGGGTCACCTCAAGGCTGACGCTTCTTAGTTGTTGGCTGATGCTCATGGTATAGGGTCTCCTCACCCAGTTCAGGTGGATGGAGAACGCTCAAATGGCTGAACTTGTATACAGTCATGATCAGCAAATGGCTGCCACTGGTGGCTTGGGTGACAGGTACAACTACTGTGTTTTGTCATTTGGCAAACGCTGCCTGCTGCGCAGATTGTTGTTGACATACGCCGTTGGCTTACACGTGTATCATCATGAGCTGTTTGCATACATGTATATCATCGAGACCTAAGTAGTTTGCTTACAAACGTATCAAAACATGACCACGTTCCAATCGTGTAGACATATGAGGCCTGTGGCCACTGCTTCAACATGTTTGCAACACGTTCAAGCACAGCAATTCAGTAGACAGGGCTATAGAGGTGGATGACAAGACAGTACAGTACAGAAACTTGCAAAGCGAAAAGATGTTTGGAGTTTGCAAGAGAGCTGTTTACAAGCCTTGAGGCTACAGTGAACTATGGACTGTGGACTCTCTAACACGAGCAAGCCATGAGGCTACATTGAACTATGGGCTGTAAACTTTTACGCTATTTAACATGAGCAAGCCATCAGGCTACAATGACACGTTCCAGCTGACACGACCATGCCCTTGGGCTACAGGTGAGTGTGACAAGAGTAGTTGCTGCACAACTCTTTAGCGGCTTACAGCCCTGTGTTGAATGGTGCATGTATGGCTTATAGGGGGGGTTTGTAGCTGTTAAACTGGTAGCTGTCTACCTGCAACCATGCCTGCGACATAGAATAAAGAGACGTAGTCAAAGAACTACAAGACGCTTCTGGACTATTGGAACGCAGAGCACATCATGGTCCTCGCGGGAAATCATCTTCCGAAGACCCATAGCTCAAAGTTGTTGCAGCAAAGACGGAGTCGGTTGAGTTTGATGCAGAAAAGGCACCTGCCCTTTTGAAAGCATTGGACACTTTGTGTGGCATTTTGCCTGAAGCCAAGAAGCTGATCAGAAAGAAGGTTGATGACAGGATTGCAGCTCCTTCTCCACTGGCTTTTGCGCACACTTTGAAGCCTCAGCCTCAGACTATATGTGTTGCTCCGGTCTTGACCAAGACTGAGTGGGATTCTCTGTGTGGCATTGGCTCCTACCACTCCAAGCTGGCAGCGCTGGTGAAGAAACTGAGAAAATGTCTGAACAGACAGTCAAGTGTACAGTAGCAACTTCGCCTTGTAGCTACTCACAGCTGCCTGCCAGAGCCAGAAGTCGTTTTTCAGATAGTTCAAGATGCCATCACCAAATATGCAGGTTCACCTGGCGGGCTTCCACAGCCTATCAAGGACAAGGCATTGCAGTCAGGGCCTCGCATGGGGACCGCCCAGACCAGTTCAACCATGTCTTGAAACAAATTCCTTTGAGGAACGCACACAAGGCCATCATTCAGCTGGACCTTCAGGCCTTCAGCTGGTTCTCCGGCTGCAGGTGGGCGTGGTTTCCAATATTTTCCTACCTGCGCGAAAGCCACCATACCACCCCAGCACAAGGCATTGCCAGCGCCTCCTGCAGACACTGGGGCGCCCGCAAAGGTTGAGCATGAAGCAGCACAAGCTTTCAAGCCAACAGTGAAACTACCACTGACAAATGGCAATGACTCACGCAAGCATTTGAAGCCTGCCTCAGCAACGGTCCTCAGGGTCCTACTGAGGAATGGCATGGCAGGACCAAGGAGTCTCGGACAGGGTGCAGTTTTAAGGTTGGATTCCCAGATGAGCGTCAAAAGCCTTTGCCAAAACTGCTCTCAGGATGCTGGTAGGGTATGGGACCTACGCCAGGCAAAAAGCTGATGTGTAAAGTTGCTAGTGTGTGGATCAAGCTTTGTTGTTTTGTAGTGGCATTGTGATATGAGTAAGATATTGTTGCTTTCTCCTGCCACTTTGGCCTGCAGGGATAGCGACGCGTGCGTTGGAGCAAGCTTTCATCAACTTTGACTAGCAGCAGGTGGATGAAAAGACCTGCAAATTGTGCTTTGATATGGGTTAGCTAGTCAAGCGCCAGGGCTGCTAATGAAGATGCGCGCGAGTTGTTTAAGCCAAGCTTTTGGGGCGAATACAGCTATGTCATAACTCTAAAACATGTGAATTGACCTTCAGTATCAGTTTATGTTGCCGCTGATGGTACTCAAGGCATATTTGTGGGCCCTCTGAACTCAGGAGTCTCCTTCATTGGAGGAAGCCAAAAGCATGGGTTGTGATTTGGTTTGCAGTGGCGCCTTTGGAGTGTCCAGCAATTGTGTCTTCATTGCTCAAGCCAGTTAGCTTTCGCTTAGTTGAGCTTTGCGCTTGTATGCAGGGATGTGTGAACTTGCATGAGCCTCCATGGTGTTAGTCAACATGGAGTTGTGTTTCTCAAACGTTATCGATCCTGCTGCATCTTTCATTTTATACATGTGTTTCCTTTGCAAGACATTTTTTCTTTGCGAAGACATCATGGAAAGAGCCCAGAAGCTTCAGAAGATTGAGACCTTTAAGCGATC